AAACCCCCATTCTCTCATCACTCTCGAAAACCCTCCCATTTCGCATTAACTTTGTGCTTTTTCGTGCTTCCGCTTCATTTTTTCCTCTCTGGCGAAAAAATAAAAGAAAAACTCAAGCTAGGAAAAATGCAGCGGGAAAAAATCCTAGCCTGCGTCTTGTCCAGCAGGCGATGCAAGGGGGTGGGGCATTGTCCTGGCCATACCTTGAACCCAAGGCAAATTCTCAATCAAAGCCCCACTTCCTCCTCTACTCACCGAAAAGACCCAAAGTCCACCTCAAGCTTCCTGACTTCCTGGCGAGAACCGGCCGGTTGACCAGCATCAACACCCATTGGCACTGGGAGAAAAGTGGGTGCATATCTGATTCGATTCTGTAGCTGTAGAACTTAAAAGCATAGTCTTTTAAGGATCTTCTTTACATAGGTAAGACCTCTAGCTTCACTTTACTATTTTTTGTTAAATTATCACAACTTTTTGAGTTAAATTATAAAAAAATTATTAAAAAATAAACAAATAGAGTTCGTAAATGCAAAGTTCTTCCAAAAAAAGTTATTTGATTATCATTTTTATTTTTACATTTATTTTAATTCACAGGAAAACGTGAGCACCGAGTCGAAGAACTTTTCTTTTGGTGTTTTCTTTTTCTTAACCTTTTTGGCAGATTTTAATAACACAAAAAAATCATCTTAATTTTCTTAATTACATAAACTTTCCTCTCAGTGCACATACCATCCCACATTCGCAAGAAAAAAAGGCATCCCAAAAGAATGAAATAAAAACTGGCGAAGCAAAGAAGGAAACCGGCCAAAGGCAGCCAACCAAAAAATCTATTTTCCAATTTCTGTGCACCCAGAAAACCGATGTTGGGTGGCTCAAATCGGTGAAGGTGGAGGTGGAGTAGATTGGGTGGCCCCCGAATGCACCAAACTATAGTCAAGCTATCTCCCTCGCCCCCTCGCCCTATCTCACTCTACCCATATTGCCTTCTCGCTTGCACCGTGTTTCACCCACTTGTGGCGCTTCCTCACACAGAAACACACACCATCACGATTTTGGGCTGCCTCACACGAAGGACCAAGGACGAAGGACGATGGCGGCGCCCGGCGACTCCTTCGGCGCTTGCAGCGTCATCCTCGCAAATACAACAACAAGTGGGTGAGGATGTGGATGTGGCTGTGTGGCAGCGTGGATGTGGCAGAGTGGAAGTGGAGAAAACTCGTAAAAATGTAACCTAAAAACCGCCGGAAAAAATTCAACAAGGCAAAGGCAAAGCGAAGAAAAAAAGAAGGTGGAGGAGGAGGAGGAGGAGGAGGGAAAATAGTTCTCCCGACATTGGAAAGTAGGTGGAGTGCTTATTGCGTAGTCCATGAAAAGCTGGCTAGTATTGGGCTAGCCACCCACTCCTACACACACACACACTCACACACACTCTAACACAGAAACAGACGCGACGTTGTCCTCGTCGCTTGTTGCATCCTTCTGGCATAAAAATGCCTTCTTACAGCCAAAGATGGTGGGTGGAAAATCCGAAATGCTGTAGGTTGAGGGGTCTGTGCGTTTTGATGCGGGAAAATAGTGGGAAGTGGTTGGAAAAGCCAACGCCGACAGCGGCGCCTGCAACGCTATTCTCCTTCTCCCTTATTGTAGCTCCTCGTTGTTGTTATTGTTGTTGTTGGGGTAATCGAAAGATGCGTTTGGCAATGTGGATGGTGAAAATGGAAAGGGGATGGGTTGAAAAGCGTTTGGAGCCAAGACCCAACCACTACATAGAGACACGGCAAGTGGGTGTGGGAATGGCCCACAATATTGCCTAACACCTGCTGCTTCTTAATACACCAACACTAACATACACACACACACACACACTACATTCTGCTCTCTCTTTTCCTTGCAGCGAAGAAAAAAAATGTATATGTATATGTGAAGCTTGTTGCTTTCGGCTACCCCCCACCACCCCATCATTATAATGCATCTCTTTCTCTTCTATATATTCGAGATTTTTTCCTTTATTTATTTTAGTTTTTCTTGTTTTTCTTGTTGTTTCTTTTTTTTTTTTGTAAATAAAGGCAAAGGAAAAGTTTGGCTTTTTAATATGTTTACACCCCATCGAGTGGGGGTTTGGGGTAGGGAGTTCAGTTTTCCAGGCAAACAAACTAAATAGAAAAGGATTCGGGTGCAAGAAAGAGGTCCAGGCAGGGGGGATGTTGCTACTATGCAACAAGTTAAATCCCTGTTGGGGTTTGTTTTCTGCTGGATAACTTTTTCGCAAGGAAATATAAGCTTAGCAAAATATTTGCCTGAGCTCTTTATTGCTATATTCAGGTAGATTGCATTATCTCACAGAAATCTCTTACAGGAGCTTTCAAGGTGTGATTTAAGACTGTTGCAGGTCGGGGTTTCGAGTTAAAGTTGGTCCTTACCTTGGCTTAAAGTTGCAAGTAAAATATATGTTAATGTACACAGACTAGTTTTTATATATTTCCATGTTATCTGACAGGAATTATTTTGATTTTTATGATGGAATATTTTAAGTTACCATGGCATTTTCCAACTTAATCCAGAATTCCTTAAGGAAATCAAACAATTAAAAGGTAAATTACTTCGAGCTATTTAGAGAACTTTTAAAAGAGTTTCCGAAACACCTTTACATCCTTAAAAATCCTTTCTACCCATTACATTGTAGCTAGAAAATACCCAGCAATTTCCTTTTATAGCTCCAACTAATAAAAATATTTTTGCAATCCTAAACCCCAAAACAAATTTCCCTCTCCGTAATGGGCCACCATTGAAAATTACCTTTTTGCCGCTTATATAATTTGGTTAGTGTAATCTCCTTTATGCCCGGCATTATGTTTGGCATACAGATGGCCAGCCATCCCAGCACACCCACACACACACACACACCTGAATCCACAAGTGGATGGGCTCCCATTACAATCAAATGAAACTCCACCACTGATTCACTGATTGAGCCATTGCCAACAACAGTTGGGTGGGAGCTGAATGGGAAATGCAACAGGCAACAGGCGAGATTTCCCATCAACACTATGCCGCCCACTGAACCACCCACCCGAATCCACCCACTCAAACCTAAGCCAACCAACGACGTCTTTGTCTTCCTCTTCGATCAGCATCGTTTTTCTGGGTGGCTATGGGTTGGGTTGGGTTTTTTGGGGGGAAAAGCTAAAAAAAAAAGAAAACGGAAAGCCAAAAAGAAATGCAGGAAAATTCGTTGGCGACGAAAATCGGCCACAAAAACAGGCGAGGAAAATCGCTAGCTCCTCGTTGGCTCGTCCTTCGGTTCGGCTCTGCTTCGTATTGCCATTGTTGTTGTTGTAGATTTTCCAACTGCAATTTTTTTTTATAGTAGTAGTTGTAGTTGTAGTTTTCCCTCTTGCCATACAGTTTTCTCTAACGCTTTCCTATAGTTCTGGGGGGCTGCCTTTTCGGCAAACGCATTCGGCACTCATCGTCTGCAATTTTTATATTGTGCAATATATTTCGTAGGGACATGCCCCCGAAAACCACCCACCACCCACCGCCCACAGCCCACCATCATGCGCATGTATGTGTAAGTGTGAGTTGGTAGATGTATGGGTATGTGTTTGAGTGTGCGTGTGCTTAAGTGCGCTTCGTTATCTCCAGCAGAGCACTTCGTTTTGGGGCCACCCTCAGTCCCCTAACCACTAGTCGTTCTTAACCCATGTTGGCTAGAACTAACCCAAAACCCAGACCCCCAAAACGCCAGACACCCGTTGCATACATATATAGATATAGATATAGATATATATATATATCCTCCTACTTTTTTTCGTCCTGGCTTCTTTCACATTTTGCTGCAGCTTCGTGCAGCGAGGACAACGAAGTCGTTTCGTCGCCAAAGAGAGCCGAGCAAAAATTGTCGCTGGAAAAATGTGCTAAGGGTTTTCCTAGTCGAGGCGGAGTAAGAGGAAATGGTGGGAAAAACCACTGGAAGCGGTGACTCTGTCTCTGTGTTTGTGCGGGAATGTCAACTAGAAACAAGGACGATAAGCATTATGGAGCGCATTGAGGAAGTAATTGAGTGCACGAGACAGGGACGCAAGGCAAGGACGATGTGTTTGTGTGTTGGCTGGCGAGAAAAAAAATACACTTACACTGCTATATATACATACAAATATATATGTATATATATATGTATTTGTACATGGAGAGAGGCATTTATATGTATACATATAAAGGACGAACCAACAACAGCAACAACAAAAGGCATTTAACATTTTAATGGGGGTTTGGGTTAAGGCTTGGATTGCTGGCAACGTGCTAAACGTGCTCAAAAACCGAAATGAGTGTTTTCAGGCAAAAGGATAAGGCAGCAGCCGCCAGGAGTTGAAGAAATATATATGTATATATATCCAAGGGTGACACCAGCTATAGAGCAGCCAAAAAAAAAACAAAGAGTCTCTGCAATTTATGTTAATTTTCCAGACTCCTAGGTGTTTGTTTTTCTTTTCGTTTTCCACACAAACATATGGGCAAGGGCTTAAGCCCAGTCGATGTTGATTAGGTCTGGCTAAAGTCAATTTCTGGCTAGCAACTTGCAGGCACTTCATTTGCCATTATACGGGCCAAATCCCATTTGCGGGCTTAATATGAACGATGAGGGGGGTTTTGGGAAAATCTCAAAAAAAAAAAGGAGAAAAACTGCAGTTTCCCTTTATATGGACGGGTTTGAGCTGCTTAAGCCTCCTTCTACTACAAATTATTCAGCTTATTGGCCTGGCTGCTACTTTTTTTCAGAGCCTTTTGCTTTCATCGGATTTTAATTGGATTGAAAGGCAGGTGGCTTCGGTTCAATGTCGAAAGGAGAAAAGATAATAAAGATGATAGCAGAATTATAATTTTAAGCCTAGATATTAATGAGTAAACATTAAATATAGGATATTATAGGAAGTATATATATGTAGTAATTCTAATCCCTAAGAATATCTAATATCTTCTTATAGTTACCAAAAACTCACCCACAATTTGCAGCATATCCTTGGACCATTTCATGAGCTCCCTTTTGATGAGCCGACGCTCTTGCAGGCATCTGGCAAATGAACAATCGGCCATAGTTTTCCTTTATTTTGGGAGATCTTAATGATATTTGCTAGCTTGCAAAACTGTACCTGCAAAAATTAAACAAAAACGAAAAAAGCCAACACAATTAGCGGGAAACGACAAAAATAACGAACAAAAATTTCCCCAATGGAAATGAGTGTTAATTTATTAAATCTATAATGCGCCATATAAAATTTCATTTACTGTTGTTGTTGTTAGTATTGTTGTTGTAGCATTTTCGAACGCTACGAAATGATTAAACGAGTTTTATTTCAAGGTTATCGCGAAAACACACAAAACCTGTTGCACTTTAGATTTGTTTTTGTTTTTGTCTTATTATTTCATATGCTGAAAATTTATTTATTTTTCTTGATTTTTTCTTGTTGTTATTGTTGTTGTTGCATTCTTGCTAAGCCACCAGTCTGTGCTTGTTGTTTTTGTTTTTCTTAGTTTTTTTTTTTACTTTTGTTGCAGTTCTAGTTGTTGCATTTTGTGGTTTTTTTTTCAGAGTATTGGTTGGGGCTTTTACTATTCGGGCAGCTACCAGTTTTTGATATTTCCTAGTTACAAGTACAGTGGGTTATGGATAGGTGAGAATATGTAAGTGGTTTTTGTAACTTATAAAGAGTTTATGAAAAACAAACTTTGCAGAAAATGTGAAGAAAAATAAATATTAACATTGACATTTCATATTTTTATGTAAATTTTTAAAGTTATTTTTCGGCATATTAGGAAAATTATTCATACTTTGACTAAGTAGAAAGACTTTTTGTACATTTTGTTTTATAGTTTATAAGACTTTCAGATTTACTTCTTTGTAATAACATTTAATAAATAAAATGATTAACTTTATTATTTTCCCTCTCAATCCCCAATCACTGCTGAATCGCCTTAGTTGATGGCAATATTTCTTGCTGTTTAAGCTGTCTATTACATTAATTTATTCAAATGGCTTTGTCGTTGTGTTGTCGCTTTGCATTAAATTAGTTTTGTTTCATTATTAAAAAGTCGTAAATTGCGAAACGTGTTTGGGATTTCGCTATGAGTTTGGCTAACTCGATGAGTCGTCCCACTTGAAAATCTGAAAGCCTAATGAGATGCAACTTTAGCTTTTTATGGACTGCATTCCTATTTCGGGTTAATTTCAGGGAAAAAAACAGACCTATGAATGAAAATTTTCCCCCAACCTGTAATTGCCCGTTCGGCTGATAAATGATTAAATATGATAGGAGGCAATTTGAGTTCTCCTCGACTTGTCTTTAGGTTCTTAGCAATTCTCCTTTGCTATCTCTATGACAGCCACTAAATTTTCATGTTTACCTCAACGGATATTTGCCTACCGAAAACTGAAAAAACCGGCTTTTCAGATAGTCAGCCAGCTAGGTAGTAAGCTAGCTAGCAAGCCAGCCCCTTTTGGTTGGAAATTACAATAGCAGAGCCGAAGAGCTGGAAAAAGTAATTGAGATTCTAATATCAGATAGCTGATATGCTGATGTTGGCTTACATGCAGCTGCCATTTTGGCCAGGCCTAGGCGGCCTAGGCTAGTAAAACAGGTAGCCCAAAGAGCGTTTCCAAGATGTTTACGCTGATGAAAAATTACTCCAGCTGCCCATGGCCAAAGGCGGGCAATGGCAATGCCAAAACCAAAGTTAGGCCCAACGAAAAACTGAAGTAAAAATCCCAACCCAAACCAGCGAAACAGCAGGTTGGCGTGCAGTTGCAGTAGCTATTGTGGGCGTGGCAACAGAGCACGCGGCCGAACAGCAGCCAACTGATGATGGACGTTGATTATGATGGACGTTGCCGGCCTACCAAGAAGAACAACCGCCAGCCAAAGAAGATGAACAGAAGCTTCGAAAAAGCGAAAAAACCGGCAGAAGAGCCTGCCAGCAATTTGTGGCAGGAACAGGCACAGGGAAAAATGATCAGCAAAAGTGATCAGGGATTTAGAACTATAACTTGGTTAAATATATAGCTTTTAGTAGATTTTAAAATCATTAAGTAAAATGTATATTTAAGGGATTTTTTAAGGAAATTTGTATAAGAATGTACTTATTTTTAATATTATTTCAATATTTTTTAACATTTTCTTACTCTTATTTTTGAAAAGGAGTATTTTTTCATTAGGAAATGCTTAAAAATGACAAAATAATGCAATAACTATATATGTTTTTATAACATTTCTTGATTATATAAGCCTCTCTGTTAATCATTTATCATTAATCATTAACATTATAATATATAAAATATTTTTCCTGGTGCAGCCAAGCTAGCAGAGCGAGATGGTTAGATTGAGCGATTCTTAGGGCCAGCCCAACGCCTTCTTTTTGGTATTATTTTAAGTAATTTTCTAATTAAAACGAAATCAAGTTTTCCTCGAAGGAAATGCCAAACATTCCCTGGCATATCCGTTGATACAGCTGAGGCTGTCACATACAAATATGCAAAGTCAATGCTTATTTTGAGCTCTGCGGCTTCCTGCCTTTCGCATCGCACTGAGAATCGGAGACAGGCCCAAGACAGTTGGGTGAGGGAGGGGCGGCATCTCTATATCTATATATCTCTCTATATATATACGTGTTACAGATACAAAAAGCTATAGAGGAATTCATTCAGTCGAAAGCTTTTTATAATAAATGCCACAAGTATCTGGTGGCTGTCGGTATTCGTATCTCGCTCGCCTGCATTTGATTTCATAAATAAAACAAAATATCAAGGCCGCCCTGCTGGAATCTAAAAGCTAGAAACTTGTAGCCACATATAATATATATATATATTGCTTTGGAATATATAGAATATGAAATCACAAAAACAAAAAACCAAACTAAACTGGCAATAGCAATTGATTGGCTGGCCAAAGGTTCTGAGCCACGACAGATCACAAAATGTTGCCTAGAACAAAACGAGTTAATATCAATTGGATTGGTTTTGGTTTTTGTAGCTCGGTTTGGCTGGGATTGGATTGGCTTTGGCTTTGGCTTTGGATGTGATCTGGGCACAAAGTGCATTTTGGCTAACCAGTTTTTGAACTGGACTGCATTCGATTCTCATTAGCTCAAAGTTAAAGTTTTGCGGCCCCAAAAGACTTTGGGCCAAATTTCAAGCCAATGTTAAGGCCTTGAAATCGTTTTTCCACTCTGATATCTATTCCATTGTTCTAAATTGTATTAGAGATGCTTGGCAAGCCTGAAAGCCTTGGCTTTTTGTTATTCTAAATACTCAATTTGCATAGCAATTCATATTCATATCGATTCTCAATGAATTTATTACTAATCTCTCGTTTTTGTGGCCACTCGGAAAAAGGCGGAAATAATCGCTTACAGTTTTTTTTTTATATTGCCCCCAAAGTGTTCTCATAATTTTATTAATTATGAGCTGTTTCTCTTGAGTTTTTACTTTCTAGAAAATTTATTTGTGGATTTCCATGCCGGCTGATTGCGTGATCTTTTTATTGAGATGTTGAGATCGACCTTCGGCATAGTAAAATGTGCTAATTAAAGTGCTTTAAATTGTGCAAATATGTTAATTCCGATTAATTTGAATGGGAAGAATATGTTAAAAACATGAGGAAGCTGCTGGTTGACTTAAGTGGAAGATTTACAAATATTTATGAGACTTTTAAAGTGCATTTTTTAATTTTTTCTTTGATTTCCTGTTTGTTTTTATTATAAATTTTAAGTAAGAAAAGTCAATAAAAGTCATCTTTCTGCAAGTAATTTTTAGTATTATTTGCTTAATGACTGACTTAACTATCAAAATCAAAACAAACAAAGTCTGCTGAGTATAGTTTTTAGACCCCATGTCGTATGAGCAATATTTGTTAAACTAACTATAAATCTTTCTTATCTGCCTTCAAAATATCCGCTGACCCTGAGGCCGACATCTACTGATTAGAGATCACAATCACAATTAGCTGGCAGCAATGACAACTCTCACCTGTTGCCATGTTGCAAGTTGCAAGCTGCGGGCGTGTGCAGGCAGCAACATCAACTAACTAAAGCAAGATGAGCACGCGCCATGGCAACAGCAACGGCAGCGGCAACACACAATGACAGGAAGATCGAAAACGAAACCAAAGTCAAGTTGTTGGCTAGTTAACTGGCCAACTAACTGGCTAACAGGCTGCTGGCTCAGTTACAGTAACACACATTCGCTGGTTGCAAGTTGTTGGTGGTTGCCTGTTGCTGTTGCAGTTGCAGCGATTGTATGCAGTCAAGCGCATTTCCATTTCTAACGTTGATCTGCGATCTGCGGCCCAGAGCCCCACGACTCCACTACTCTCGACTCTACTCCACTCAACTCCACTCCATTGAGCCTGGTTAGTAAGGTCGAGCCTGCCCCTCGTTCATGGCCCAGCTCACCTACAAAAATGGCCAAGAACAAAAAAAAAAACAAACAACATCGAAGTAAAGACAAGTTTAGAGGCGGTGTGCCAAGTCTTGCCATTGGACTTGCTCTTGGCTTGACTTGACTTGACTTGGCGTTGGCCATTGGCTGATTTATTGTCCATATGGGCAGTAGATTGCACTTGACCTCAAATGATGTGCTACTGCTGCTGCTGCAGCATTTAACTCTATGCCTCTCCTGAAAGTGCCAAAAACTTAATTTCCTGCCAACAACAACAACAACAGAAAAGCACAAAAACTTGGCAAAGTTTTGCCGTTGACATTGATTGCATAAACGAGCCGGGGTCTACCCCTGTTATGGCTGCCCCCAAGTGCTGTGTTTTTAAATCAAATAATGAAACAAGAGGCGAGGCTGCTCCTTCTGCTGATGCAACAAACAACAAAGTGGCCCGGCATCCGTGTCTCTGTGGGTGAAATGAAGTTAAATGCCGCTCAAGGATGCTAAATGTGCCATGTCGAAATGTGTTGTCTCTGCATTTGTATGAAACTATTTGGCTGCCGGCATTGTGTGCTTCCCAACCCTATCTACTTCAGTTTCTGGATACATATATATATACATAACTGTTGCATGCAGAGGAGCAACAGGAGCATTGTCCTTGCTCCTGCTACTACTCCTGCTGCTGCTGCTGCTGGCATGTGGCACATTTTCGACATGTTTTGT